TTACGTATAAAGTATTCTAAAAAAAAGGTTTACATACTGTATAAAGTATATTCACACAATTTTAATGTAAAAAGCAAAAGAAAATTTTAGTAAGTCACGGCCACTAGGGTTTTAAAACCCCTTCTTATCAGCCTCTTCTCCCTCATTCTCTCTCTCGACAGCGACCTGCTCTGTGACATCAGGTAGGGCCCACTACTTCATCTTTGCGTTTTTTTCAAGTACCTCGCTTTATTTTTCTTGTTGGTTTGAAAATTTTACCCTAATGTTATATAACGTTCCATTCAAGCCATGGAATCCCGGATTATGGAGTCTTCATTTTGCTCTAGTGTATCCTCCGGTTCGATCAATAGATACCGTTTCTCCTCCGGAGCGAAACCTTTCTCCATCTGCTTTCCTCAGAAGACGAGAACAATGAGCTTAAAGGCATCGGAGAATGATGAGGGTTTCACTTACAAGGATTCTGGTGTGGATATTGATGCTGGGACTGAGCTCACTAGACGAATCAGGAAGATGGTTCCTGGGATTGGCGGATTCAGTGGTGGTTATGAAATTGTATTTGGTATGGATGGTGTAGGGACTAAACTTAAATTGGCATTTGAGACTGGAAAGCATGATACCGTTGGAATCGACTTGGTAACACCAAAAACAAAACTGTTTCTTATTTGTTTGTTTGTTGTTGTCTTCCTTACTTTACACGCCACTCATTGTTTTACTTTTGTTTCAGATCGCCATGTGTGTGAATGATGTTATTACTTGTGGTGCAACCCCTATTGGTTTCGTAGATTACTATTTACGAAACCATGCAGTGACGGTATCATTGCTTTTGCTTCATCTTTGATCTTGTTTGCTGCTTTAGGAGCTAACTTTATTATGCTTTGTTTCTAGGTCATTACAGGGATTTTTTATGGTTGTCAGCAATCCAGCTATGACCCCATGGATCCATGCAACCTCTTAGGAGGAGAGTTAGGTATTATTTACAGTTAGATCCAATCCCAGCGCTTGACAATTGTTAATTCTGTTTCGATTTTTGGCTGTTTTTAGACTGCAGAGATGGGTGACTTTTATGCCAAGGGCCACTACGAGCTCGTTGGCTGTGCAGTAGGCAAAGTGAAGAAAGATTCTATTATAGATGGGAAAAACATAGTAGCTGGAGATGTCCTTATTGGTCTCCATTCATTCCAATGGTTACTCCTTAGCAAGAAGGTAAGTTACTGATAATAATTCAGTTTATTATTGGCACTAATTTGTATATTGACTAAGATAGATACCTTTTTTATGAAATTGTTTGCAGGGTAGTGGCTCAGAGCGGTTTTTCGCTGAAAGATGAATTTCCAGGTGAATCAAGTACTACCCTTGGTGATGCTTTAATGGTTTCTACTATCATTTATGCGAAACAGCTAGGTTATTATTTTTGTTTGTCATCATCCAATTTGTATATATTCATGTTTTTTTTTTTTTTCTGTCATCAACCAAATTTTCTCTCTATTAACATTCACAGGTACTTGGCATGGTCGAGAAAGGAGGAGTGAAGGGGCTAGCTCATATAACAGGGGGAGGTATGACAGACAACATTCCCCGAATCTTACCACATGGTTTGGGTGTTGTTATTCACACCAATGCTTGGGAACTTCCACCTTTGTTCACTTTTATCCAAAAGGTACTTAGTGAGAGGAGAATCATAGATAGAATAATGAACAAAAAAATGCCATGTTTTTTACTACATCTAGAATTAATGTCTGATTTTGTGTGTGGTAATTATCATATAGCATGGGAATGTAGAAGACGGTGAGATGAGAAGGACGTTTAATATGGGAATTGGGATGGTAATGGTGGTCAGTCCAGACGCGGCTTTGAGAATATTAGGAGACGCTGAGAATGGCGACTATGTTGCATATCGCATAGGAGAAGTTGTGACTGGTGAAGGTGTAACGTATCATTAGAACATGTTATGACTGGTGAAGGTGTAACGTATCATTAGAACATGTTGCGTCTACACATTTTTTTTTTTTTTCATTTGGTTCAGAGATGGTCTCTTTTCCCTTATTAACATACCCCGGAGGGTTTGTTCTGCAGTTGTGGTGGGTCAGTGACCTTTATTTTGTTAAATGATTTCAGATAGTATATTTATGATCATGCATGCATTCACAAAAGTTCACCCAATATAATCTATTTGGACTCGTAACAGTTTGTAACAATGAAGATTAAAGATTATTTAAAAGCCCAAAAAAGAAATCTTATATGTTCTCAACTGTTTGCAGCTAGTTAAAAAGATAACGAGAACAGAGGAAGCAGCAAAGAGAAGCAACACAACAAATTCACAATTGAATCAAGATAGAGAACATCGTGCTGACGTCGGATGTAAATCCGGCCCAAAAGAAAATGTCCAATAAATTTAAAAACGAACAAAAAATTCCGATTGATTGGTAACATCAACTACTCTTGTGTTAAGATTTGAGTTATTGGTATAATCCGACGTCATGATGATCTTTTTAAGCTTGAGTTATTGGTAAAAATTTTCATCCAATCATGAATT